GGTAAGTCTATTAATTTTCATCATGGGCTGAGGTATGTTGCTCCTTGTATATATTTTTGTTTTAGCTTATGTTTTGTATTATTTCCTTATTATCATGAAAATGTATCAAATGCCCCTTCTTTTGAAACTGTGTGAGATTTGTAATGAGTATGGGCACAACACTAGTGAGTGCCCAATAAATGCCCTTTATTTTGAAAATGTTTGCGAGATTTGTGGTGAGTACGGACACATCACTAGTGAATGCCCAATAAATTATCCGGTTCAAGACTTTGCATGCAAAGGTTCAAATTCAATTTTGGCCTCCGAAAATTTTTAACCCAACCATTATATTGCAACGAGTTATCCGAGTTATGGTTGGGAGAATGAACCTTATAATTTTTCATCCGATCTCACACCACCAAATGAATTTTTCCATTATCCAACATATGAGGACTCAACCGAACAAGAATTTGAAAATAAGCTTTACGATTTTATGCAATGCCAAATGGAAGCCAATGCCCAAGTAGCCCAACAACTTTCTGAAATTAAAGATGGACTTAATACATTGACTAATGCTATAATGGCTATGCATGAAGAACAACATCTTGAGCATAGTCAATGTATTGAGGATGATCATCCCAATGAAATGCATATTGATGTTGAATCTCCCACCACTCTAGATTGTGAAAAAATTGAGGAAGTTATTATCTCACATGAGGCTAATGAGCCCAAGATCATTTTTCCATCTAGGAGTAGTGTTGAGATTCACATTTCTCAACTTGGGGAGGGCATTGCAATGGAGTTAAGTGTAGAAACTTTTAAAGAAAATTTGTATACTCCAATGTTGGAATTGCATAAATGTGCCTACATCTCGGTTTGGTTGAGACTGTTGAATAATTATCCCTTGTATTGTTGACTAGATGGGTTAGGAAGGGCATTTATACACCAAAAAAATTTTAAAATCAAAAAAATCAATGGGCGCAAGCTCATATCCAAATTGAAGCCGAATTGACATGTGCCATTTTTGTTTTATTTTCATGTACATAGTAGTTAGACTTATTTTATTGTTATATTTTTCTTCTCTTGATGTTGTAGTGTAGAAACTGTTTTCCTCTTCCTAATTTGGACTCATTTCATTTTAAACATCATAGTAGAAAATCTCATTTCATATCATGTGCAAGTTTAAGTTGGGGGGTGTAATCAAATGTTTTTGTTTTCACTTTAATGTGTATGAAAAAAAAGAAAAATGGGGTATCTTATTTCTCATATCACTTTCATTTTTCTCATTGCATGATTCATTGTGCATTGAGGACAATGCATAGTTCAAGTTGGGGGGTGAGGTGCACCATTTACATTTTCCACCACTTTTTGTACATAATAGTCAAAAATGTAAAAATTTTGAAAAATTGGACAATTTTTGTGAAAAATATCCATTATTGAACCATATTCTTCTATCCTAATTGTTATCAGATTTGTGATAACTTGATCTTCATTTGAACTTTGAATACATGAGCACATTATAGAAGTTTATCCTATTGTTAAGAGTATCACATACTTGTTTGCTTTTGAACTCAACCATAAGTGCACATGAACTTGTAATTTTTTTCAATTTATGAATTGAGTTCACATTTAGTGCTTGACATGAATAGTAGAGATGAATAAGAACCCATGTGAGCTTTAATGTCAGTCCTTGTTTGGAGGGAACTTATATTTACTCAAGAAATAATTTTTCAAATTCAAATTTGTTTAATAATCTCATTATTCTTGTTTTGGTTAGGTGCATTTGGGTAGTTGATTGACTTTGTCTTGAAATGCAATGTGCTCTCCCATGCCTATCTAGAAATGATCTTGGGCCATCTTTGAAATGCTTTGAGCCTTAGCCATTTTCTTGGAAAAATTTATCCCTAGTGCCATGATTGAACCTTAATTGAATTCGGTTCTATGCCACATGTTTGGACCAAGCCAGTGAAAATTATAGATACCTACCTTACCTTGGTTGTTCCTAGAGTTGAATATGAATGATTATAAAAGAGAAAGGAAGTATGGTGTGGAAACTCAAACAAAAGGGATGCATGATGTTGAAACTCAAAGAGTTGAATGGAAAAAGAATGAAAATCCAAGAAAAGGGGAAAAATGGAGTGAAAAAGAAAAAAAGAAAAGGAAAATGTTAAGGAAAAGAAGAAAAAAAAGAAACAAAGAGTGAAGTGATGGTGATTAGCTTGGAAATCCCATAAAAATGGAGATCTTTTTGAAATAAAGGTCATTCACTCGGAACAACCCTCTTTGTTATCATATATCCTTCGCTTCTTTTGCCTAATATCACCCCAAGGCCTCATTACAACCCGTAAAGTCCTAAATGATCTAGAGAAGCATGGGGGATGCATACTTTTAAAGAAAAAGAGAAGTTGATTTTTCTATCTAATGCCCTAGCATTCCTTTCATGAGATTATGCCAAGGTTGTTTCATTTTTATGCATACTTCATTTTTGGATTATATGTGAGCATACTTTGTTTTGTGCACAAGATTCTATCTCACATATACACATGGAGTGCATCCTCCGATAATCATAGTGTATTCATTTTTGAGAAAAACCCTTGGTGAGTTTTTGCATCAAAGCTTAATTTGGATAGCCAAAGTGAATGTGAACTCCATTGCGTAAATGTTTAAATTACATATTCATTTCACACACACATGAGTTTTCAAAGGAAATGTGTATGTGGATACTCTATAATAGCATTTAAGGCTATGATGTGTCTCATGTGTGACTGGTTCGAGTGTGTAAGCAAGCTATTTTGACATCCCTATGCTAGTAAGGATAAGGGAATATGCTTTAAATATTGGATACTAGGAAAAGAAATTTGTAGGTACCTTCACTGGAAACCTTTAGGAGACAAAACTCGTCCATTAGGGATCACCTAGGGGTTTAAAGGCTTGTTGCATGTACTAAATGCAATTGCGGAATTAATACATGTTTATTTTGTTTGCTTGCTTTTTACATTTTGTTTACTAGGGACTAGCAAAGCTTAAGTTAGTGGGTGTGATGAGTACAAAATATTGCATATTTGACAGCCTCATTACATGCATTTTAACTCAACTTTTGCATATAAGTACTTAGAGTTAGCCAAAATTATGAATAATGTTGAATTTTCGATGTTGCAGGTAATTATAGCTTAAATGATGGATTTTAGACCTTGCAACTAAGTATGGATGTGTGGTGAAGGCATAGACACATTACATGAGGATTTGGAGGCTTAAAAGTGAAGAAATCAAGGAGGTATTGGTGCTTGGGAACAAAGGCACCAGCACCCACACCATTTGGTTGCAGAGCCTCGATTTTCCTCCCTTTTGACCATGATCCGCTTCGACTCAAAAAAGGTGAAAAATATAAAAGTTGTAGATCTGGATGTCTTATATATTATGTCAAAATTTCAACTGAATCCAACGGTTGGATCAAAAGCGATTCTACAAAAACTGGTCTACAGCAAAAAAGTGTACCGATACGCAGTACTGGTACACCGAACTCCATAAGGTTTAGTGTACCGGTACGCAATACCAGTACGATCTACTAAATGCCCAGAACTGCCCAGCACGCCTGCAAATCGTCTTCAACTTGCTTGGGGGCCCACCTACATTTCTGCCACACCTACCCCTGACAATTTCTACATGCAACCATGCCTTCCTTACACAAATTCTTGACTTTGGAAGAGAAGGCATGGGAGAGGAAGAGAGAGAAGAGGGGAGTTGAAGGCTAGCCTTGTCCTAGCCTGTCAAAACCCATCCATTCAGCCCTTTTTGATGGGAGGCCTTTCACATACCTTCGGGGGACCACTATGCAAGAAAATTGAAGGCTCTCACACTCCATATACTCAGCATTCTTTAGCATTTCAAAGTGTGGCTACCTAAGCTTAGAAAATCCCAAGGAAGAAGATAATGAATAGTGTAATACAGAAATTTATGTTTTTTCATTTTCTTCACCCATTTCATTGTTGTAAGTTGTAGTTCTCTTGTAATCTTTATTTCTTGCATTGTAATCTCTTTTATTTCAAGTATATTTCAAGTTTAGTTACATGTTCTTCAATTCACCATTGTTGCTTCCAAGTTTTCTTCATTTTTTACTTTAAAATGGGTATTGTATTTCTTTCTTATAGTTCAAGTTTTCTTGCTTTAAGTTAAGTTTCAATCTTCATTTCTTCATTATGTCTCTTTATATTACGCATTTGTTTCTTGCTTTCATGAGTAGCTAGATTTTAAGTTGGTTAATCCAAGGGAGACCTCCTCTTGGGTTTTTCATTTCAACTCATTTTCTTTCCTCTTCTCGATGTACGATGGTTCGGTTTGACTGGGTTGAGAGTGGATGTGGTTGTGAGTCTTTGATATTTCATAGGCCTAGTCACAATTTATGCTTAGATCCTCACCATCTCGTCCCTAGCTTCCCATGAATCAATCATTCATCTACGCACCATTGGAGGAAAGTTTCGAGTTGAGTTGGGATTTCCATTGGAATGACCTCTTTGGATTAGCCAACACTTGTTTCATTGCATTTGCATTCACAAACTCCAATCACCAAAACACAAACAAAAGATTTTACACTTTTCCCTTTTCACAAAATCACCTTCACACACTTGAACTTTCCTTCCTTGAGGAGACGACCTTCGAGTTCTTTTCCAAGTAAAACAACGACACACAAAAGACTCCTTGCGCTTAGGGAGCACTTTTGTTCACATACGCATTTCATTCCACACACATATTTTGTTCATTTCATTCATTCCACAATTATTCCGTTGCCCCATCTCTTGCATCACTCATAGGAGAGTGACACTCCCCTTCATCCATATACTATACATGCTAAAAGGTGATATTTAGAGGTTAGGAAACTACAAGGAATTTTGTCAAGCATACGTCACACTCTTCTCCTCAATGCTCTTAATGCGAGCATCGTTCCTCTTTTCTTCTTTCTTTCCCCTCCACTCCCACTCCCACCATTGGGCCCTGCCACCATCCACTTACGGGATCCCGTTCCCATGAGTGGTGGAGGACCTGGCCTCGTTAGCTTGGTTCAGGCCATGAAAAGTAAAAATGCCCCTAGGGCCACAAAAGGTAAAATCCAATGCCACACTTCATCAAATAAATCAAAAGAGACTCTAGCATACTTACCCAATCGAGCCATTGCGTTGGATTCCAAGCTCTTGGTGAGAATTTGGTTCTTTTTTTTGTATGGATTTGGGGGATTTTGTGAGAAAGGGAGGATTAGATGAAAATGCAATTAATCACATTGAAATCCAACCTTAGGAAGTTTAATAAGGGGATTTGACAAGTGGGTAGAGTTTCTTTGAGGATTGGAGAAGTTTTGAGGGATGGGAGAGATTTTCTAGGGTGGAAAGGAGTGGAGAACATGAAAGTTTATGCCAAAAATTTGAACTTAAATCCTCATTTTTTGAATTTTGGGCAAAACCTACAAATAGAACAATCAAAACCTACTGGTAGGTTTTGTACACTGGAAAGAATCTACCGATAGGTTTATGTAAACTTCTACCGGTAGGTTTTTATCTTTTTCAAAATTTTCCCTGTGCTCTGGTTTTCACCTCCACTCCAGATTTATTCAACTCCTACACATTCTAATGACCTATTTACAACCTCAACTCCACCAAAACCCTGAACCACGCTTGTGAACCACAAATGAATGACCATGCCCATCTTCATTTACAAAATTGCAATGCGATTTGAGTTTTGGATGCTTTCAAAACAAATGACATGGCATTCTAAATTCAACAAACAAAATGAACATGCAACATATAAAGCAAAAATTGAAATACAAAAGGCATTACTTCTTAATATCTAAAGTTTGAGCAATATTCCCCTATCCTACAAGCACAGGGCTATTCGATAAACGTTCTCAAACCCCAAACTAAGCACACATAAGCTTCACCATAGCTTTAAATGTTATTCTAGAGTATACACTTACACATTCATTTTCAAACTTGTGTGTGAAATACACATGTAATTTAAGCATTTACTCAACATAATTCACATTCACTCAACTATCCAAATTCAGCTTCGATGCAAAACTTGTCAATGATTTCTCTCAAAATTGAATATTCTATGTTTATCCTAGCATGCTCTCCATGTTTATATGTGAGATAGAATCTTGTGCACAAATCAAATGCTCAAATTATAATCCTAACATGATGTGCATGTATAAGAAATGAAACGATCTTGACATAATCTCATGAATGGAATGTCAAGGCATTATATAGCAAAACCAACTTTTCCTTTTTATTAAAGGGTAAGTGAAACAAAGGGTAGTGGGAGACAAAAAGGGTTATTCCGAAGGCATGACCTTTATTACTAAAAATCTCCTTTTTGTGGAATTTTTAACTTTACACCTTCACGTCAACTTTTTGTCTTTTTTTTCTTTCTTTTTCTTTTCTTTTCAACCCATTTTTCTCCTTTTTCTATGGCTTTCTTTCTCTTTTTATTCAAAATTTGGATTTGGCACCTTTTATCCCATTTTGGGTTTCCTCACCACATTTCCTTTCCTTTATAATCAATCACAGTCACTTCTCGGAACAACCAAGGTGTGGTAAATGTTTACAATTTGGCACTGGTTTGGTCAATTGTATGGCATGAAAATGAATTTTCAAATAAGGCTCAATCATAGCAGTAGGGATAATTTTTTCCAAGAAAAGGGCTAAGGCTCAAAACATTCCAAATATCATTTCTAGATAAGCATGGGGAGGCATATTGGCATTTCAAGACAAAGTCAATCAACTATCCACATGCACTCTAACTAAAACAAGCATAATGAGATTATTGAACAGACTTTGAATTTGAAAAATTGTTCCCTTAAGTAAATCTAAGTTCCCTCCAATAAGGACTAGCACTAAACCTCACACGGGTACTTATTTCATCTCCACTATGCATGTCAAGCTCTAAAATGTGAATCCAATCTGTAAATTGTCAAAATTACACATTCATGGTGTAGTATGGTTGAGTTCAAAAGAAAACACATGTGATACTCAAGCATAGGATAGACTTTTATGATGTGCTCATATATTCAAAGTTCAAAGTAAAGATCTCACTACCATTAAACTCATAACACTTTGAATAGGGGAATATAGTTCAACATTCAGATATTTTTCACAAAAATTTTCAAATTTTTCAAATATTTTGCAACTATTCTACAAAAAAAATTAGGTCAAATATGTGAATGGTGAATTTCACCACAAAATGGTATTACCAACAAAAAATTTGGTGTATCATACAAATAGTGCACCTCACCCCCCCCCCCCCAACATGAACTATGCATTGTCTTCAATGCAAAAAAAAAAAAGAAATGGAATGCAATGATGGACTTAAAAAGATAAGTAGGGTTAGAGAACACCTCGCAATGAGCTTTGACAAAAACACCACAATCTGCACATTTGAAGAAAGAACACTATACACAAATGAAAGTAAGTAAACAAACGATAAAAGAAAGCGAATGTCCACTAAAAGCTTCTTGAATGGTTATTCCTCAACAAGGACCAGATCCACCAACTCTTCCTCCACCATTGGAATTTCAAAACCCTTGAAGAATAGTTTAAGTCTTTGGACATTAACCTTGAATTTTTTGCCATCTTCGGGGTTTGCTATTTCCATAGCTCCGTTAGGGTAGGCCACCTTGACAAGATAGGGGTCATCCCAAAGTGTTCGAAGTTTCCCTTGAAAAATGGAGAGTCGGGAATTATACAAGAGCATTTTTTGTTCGGGCTCAAATTTCTTTCTCACAATGGATTTTTCATGAAAAATATTTGCCCTTTCTTTGGAAATTTTTGAGCTCTCATATGCATCTCTACAGATTTCCTCCAATTCATTCAACTCTAACTTTCTATTTTCTCCGACTATTCTCAAAGTGAAGTTCAAGTTTTTAATAGCCTAATATGTCTTGTGCTCCATCTCTACCTACAATGACAAGTCTTGTCATAGACTAGCCTATAGAGAGACATACCTAGGATGGTCTTGTAAGTGGCAGCACATAAGACATCAATCAACTTAAGTGACCAATCCTTTCGATTTGGGTTCACCGCTTTCTCTAGTATGCTTTTGATCTCCCTATTGGCCAACTCGGCTTGGCCATTACTCTATGGGTGATAAGCGGTGGACACCTTGTGTGTTATGCCATATTTATGCACTAAGGAAACAAATTGCTTATTACAAAAATGAGACCCAACGTCACTTATCCTTCCACGAGGTATCCCAAATATTGAAAAAATATTTTCTTTTAAAAACTTGACTACAACTCAATGGTGATTGGTTATGGTTGGGATGCCCTCTACCTACTTGGACACATAGTCCACTACCAGTAGGATATAGAGGTAGCCAAAGGACATAGGGAATGGACCCATGAAATCGATGCCCCAACAATCTAATATTTCAATGACTAGTGATTAACCCTAATTAAGACATAATTTAATAGGTAAATTGTGTTAGTTGAATAAAGTTAAACTAGTCAAAATAAATCAAATTAGAATTAGTGTGTGAATAAAGGATAATGCATTAATTGTTGTTCTTTTCAGGATTTTGTGCGTCAAAGCTACAAACTACTGGGGAGCCAATTGCATTAAAGCTACAAACTACTCGGGTGTCAATTATCAAAGCTCAAAACAAATGGGGATCAAAGAATTCAAAGCCACCTAACAAGATTTTCAAGTCCACCTAACAAGATTTTCAAGTCCACCTAATAAGATTCAAGGCCACCTAACAAGACTTTCAAGTCCACCTAATAAGATTTTCAAGTCCACCTAACAAGATTCAAGGCCATCTAACAAGACTTTCACCCTCCCTTTTTGCCTATAAATACCACCCCTTAGGACTTGTAAAGCATTCATCTTTTGGTAGTGGAAAACCCTCCAAAAGTATTATTGTTTTCCTTATTGCTTATAGCTTTCTTTTATTGTATTATTGCTTCCTTTTAATTTATTGCTTTCTTTTACTTTAAGTATTGCTTTCTTTTATTGTGTTATTGCTTTCTTTTACTTCCATTGCTTGAGCTTCCTTCTTCTCTTAGAGGAGTGAAACTCTTCCACTTTTCTAGAGCTTTACCAAAGCCGTGAAGGGTGGAACGTGATTCACTCATTCTTTGTCGAGGATCGGCTCCTTGTGTAAAATGTGTTACCTTGTAACTCCTCTACTTGGAGTGATGAGCATCACTCACTTTTCTAGTTTTAACAAAGCTATGAAGAGTGAGTAGTTTATCATCCAATCTTTAGTAATAGGTGGTTATCCGGAAGTTAAATTTATGCAATTCGTTTATGCTTAGTTTTAGTCTTTATTTTTTTTATATAATGTCTTCTCATCATATTGTTGTCTTTATTTTAAGCATGAATAGCTAAATCTCTTAGTTGACAAACCAAGAGGAACCTCCACTTGGGTATACCATTTCAACTCATTCTCCTCCCTCTTTTCAAAGTTCAAGGGTTCGGTTTGACTGGGTTAAGGGTGGATAACTTGGTGAGTCTTTGATATTCCGTAGGCTAAGTCACGGTTTATGCTTAGATACTCACCAATCTTACCCCTAGCTTCCCACGAATCAATCGTTCATTCATGCTCTATTGGAGGAGGGTTTTGAGTTGAGACGGTATTCCTATTGGAGTGACCTCTTGGATTTGCCAACATTTGTTTCTCATTTTACTAGCATCAAAACAACTTCCAACAATCAAAGATTTTACACTTTCTTTCTCCCAAAATCACCTTCCCCTCGGTTTACTTCCTTCCCCGTGGAAACGACCTTGGAATACCACCAAGTAAAACACGATCCGCGAAAGTCTCCTTGCGCTTGGGGAGCACTTTTGTTCACACATACTCACATTTGAAATCTCATTCATCCACCATTTCGTTGCCCTTTCTTTTGACATCATCCCTAGGAGAGTGACACTCCCCTTTATTCATATACTATACATGCTAAAAGGTGATGTTTATAGGTTAGAAACAACAAGAAAATTTGTCAAGCATTTTTGGCGCCGTTGCCGGGGAAGGCAAGTGTCAAACCAAGAAGGTGATTTTTGGAACGACGGAGGTAAGTCCCATGATCTTCATCATGGGCTGAGGTACGTTGTTCCGTGTACATAATCTTGTTTGTGTATAACTTTGTTTGTATATATTTTGTTTTATGTGGAGGCGGAACGACCAAAACCGACTTGTTAGACAAAAC